CGTGGCGGTCCCCACCCGTCCCTCTCCAGCAGGCAGCAGCTGATGCAGGCGATACGCCCGCACTCCACACCGCACCTCAGCAGGCTACAAGTCAGGTTCTTTAGATCGCTGTTACAGCTAATCAAAGAGAACGACCACTGCTTGCACAACTGGCTGCACTCCGAGAGTGTGCAGGAGATGCTCGCCGCTAACCGCGGCCTGCGGCTGCGGCTCATCACCTCAGACACGAGCTGGATCTCATATAACCCAGATTCTCCCTGTTGTAAGTTTTGCTTGCTCGGTTGCCACAGCAGACCATATTATCGGGATCCGACTCTGAGTGCGCTAAATACTTATGAATTTTCCTATTTGAGCTTCAGGGACTCGAACTCAAGTGCGTGAATGTCTTTGGTCTCCATAACTGTGTTTAGCTGTTATGTAGTTTTGGTACATTTTTTTTATCTCTTTAGCATTGCTGCGTCAGCTATTTTAATTGTGAGTCATATTCTTTGTAATAATTTTTAATACTTTATAAAAACCGTTTTTATAGGGTTGCGTAGAAAATCTAGCCGTTGCAAACTTTCCCCGGGTGGAAGAATTAGTAGTTCGAACTATATGCGACTTCAGTAGTTAAACTTCGTTGGAATCTGAAGTTTGGACGCATTTTATTTCTAAACAAACTTTATTGCAGTTGTAAACGTTGTGCATTTCAAACTGTGGTCAAAACTCGTGAAGGATTCTAGTCAAAATGCAGTTGCTCGACACAGTTCAACTACAGTTTAACCACAGTTAACCACAGTTAAACTGCAGTCTAACTGTAGTTCACTGCAGACAAACTGCAGTTTAACTATACCAATTTCGACAACACCTTAGTTCGTCCACAGTTTGGCGTAGTTTCAACTGTACTCTGTCTCCAGATAAAACTGAAGTTCAGTTACAAATGGTCTTCGGATCCGACTATCATACAAAATGCACTGTTCAAGATTTGGTTCAAAACATTTTTTTCCCCCCTCTGACCCTTTCCTTTATCTAGTATTTTGCTCATATTACCTCATATTACAAGTTACATGATAGAGTGCACAGTACCTTTTGAACGCTGGATCTGCAAAGCTGGATGCAGACGGGAGTTGAACCTCGGACCTTGGAGCTGGGAGCCTCGCACGCTGACCACTAAGCCAGCGCGACACCATA